TATGAAAGTGAATGAAGAAGAGATTCTTTGGTCGATTTCACCAGATAAAGACGGATGAATCTCGTTGTACTGCAGCCATTTGGATTTTATACGATATTCATGTTGCCGCAGTCCACAAGACATCCTCCCTCGTTTCAGGTGAAAACGTGCTGAGCTTTCGTCCATCTTATGATGGACATCCTCAGAGCTGGGTGTCATTCTTGTAAAAGTCTCAGATTAACACTAAAGCAAGAACACTATCCGGCTCTATCTTACTACTTATATGGATTCAATTGAGCCAAAAGAAAATTAAAAACCTAGATAGATCGACATAGAGTGGTTTGGTTGATTTTCTTTCATACTGGTCCTGTTATTTTTGCTCGATCGTATGAGTATGTGTATTTGTGCGCGTTAGCGTCTATATGCAATACGGTTCATAAATCAGAGTTGTCAAAAGTTTTAATGTCAGGTTATGATCCTCAAGACCTAATTACCCAATATAAGGTATTGACCGAGACTGCCTAGGTACGTAAACAAGTATGGTTGAGATAATGAAATATGAGCTTTTAAGCATTAAAATCAAGTTATGAAACCATTTGTCCCAACCTTTCAGCCTAGGGTCAGTAAATTTTAACCCACCAAGGAAAGATAAGACTGGGGTTGCGTAATCTGACATGTTTCATTTTGTTGATGAGCTTATTCTAACATTTTGTACGAATGTGAGTGAAATTAGAACCATCACTGAGCAGTCAAATTGAGTCGCCTTCTTTCTGACGGAGGTTCAACAGCCTCTCTCTCTTTCAATCTATCAATCAAGCATAAATAGTTCCTACTCAAGTTTAAACCACTGTTGCTCACCTTCAACGTATTTCCTAAACTTTTAATTACTAATCTAATGAACAGGAGACTTGATGAAGGTAGGATCAGCGAAAACTTTGCATATTGCCTAAAAAAACCAGGAGACGACCAGGCAAGATCAAGATCAGCTAAAAGAAGGCGACTGGATTAAGGTAATATCCTTAATTTTAGGAAAAAAGATCGAAAGAGGAGAAAGGAAGAATCAGAAGCAAAGAAGAGACGTCTTAAGTGAGCCTAATCAAAACAAGTAGAACCACGACATTTGTGGATTGGTACACAAGAGACAAGTGATAGTCATGGTATTAGAGATAGAAACAGAAAAGACGTGGTGGAGACTAAAGCTAT